AAAGGAGGAAGAGGAGGAGGAGGAGGCAAGGAGGAGAGGGAGGAGGGGGGGGAGGCGGGGAGGAGGAGGCAGGGGTGGAGGCGGAGCAACGCATGCATGAAAATATCGTGGAGCCCTGCCTTGGTCCACCTGTTGCTGCACTGCTGCCCGAGCAATGACTGACTGGCATCGTGGCCTGGAACTCTGGGTCGGGTTGCTCGTGCACCCCCCGAGACGCGTCGAAATTGCAACCGGCGCGCTCCGCACGAAGCGGCACTGGCCGCCCTGCACCCCTACTGCGGGCACGCAGCCCTAGGGGGCAGGCTCCAGCGGCACGGGCGCGTCCGACCCCCCCCCCCCCCCCGGGCCACTCGCGCGCCCCCCCGCGCCTTTGGGGCCTGCTTTAGGCTGGGCCGTCGGGGCGTAGATGATCGGCGAGCGAGGGAATGATCCAGAGAAAGGAGCGTCGGCGCACGTCTCGAGCCGAGCGGAGGGATGGGGAAGCAAACACACCACTCGACAGCATGCCTCGGGCAACCAGGTCCTGAAAACGTTCGCTGCCCGCGAAGACCGCCCTGGCCATGACTGCCCTGGAAGGTTTGAAGAGTAAAAATAAACTAACAAAACATGATTTCAGCGCTCCTACCTGGGGCTGCCCTGGCCCAGGCTCCGATCTCGACGCCCCCCTCGTCGGGCACTCGCGGGCAGAGGGGGGGGCTCAGGCGGTGCCCTCATCAGAGGGCCCATCGCAAATCCGCGGGGGCCATCTCGCCCATCTGCCGCCCCAAGGGGCAGCGAGGGGCCGCGCCCGAAAGGTAGGCGCCGTTCCCCATCTACACCAGCGCCTCCATGAAGACCGAGAGCGCAGCTCCAATCTTCGTGCCCTTGTGGATCGCCATCGAGATGATGGCCCGGGGTGGCTCGCTGTTCGGCGCCTTCAAGACATGGCCCCTGGAGCACGGGATCGAAGCTTCGCTGCCGCGACTCCTGGTGCGAAGACCTCCTGCTGGTAGAATCCCTTCATCTCGTCGCGCAGCTTGATCGCCCGCGCGTCGCCGTTGCCCTCGAACTGCTTGTCGACGCCGTAGAGGATCGCCGCCGTCGCCGCGTGGACGCGCGGCGGTCCGCGAGCCGCCCAGCCCGCGTCGCCACCTTCGCGCTGCTGCTGCTCCATGTCCAGGTTGGCCATGTTGCACGTGGCCCCCGCGGCCTTCGCCGCTGCGGCCAGGCCCGCGCTGGCGTTCGGCATCTCGTAGCGGTGGTACACCGCGCGAACTTGCCCCCACCCCCGCCGCCGCCCATGCTGCCGTCGGCGTTGCTGCCCTCGTGCTTCTGTTCCGCGCCCCCGTCGCTGCCGTGGCCTGCTCTCTTCTGGCGCGCCGTCTGCGGCGCGCTGAACCAGGAGGGCGGTGCCGCGTTCCCCGCTGCCTGCGAATCTGCAGGCACTCCCATGGGGCACGTGCCCTCGAGGCCGCAGGGGCAAGTGGGAGCACATGCGATCAAGAAGGTTGCCGAGCCCCGAGCCATCGAAATCTCAGACAGTGCACGTGGACAAAGTGATTGGCTGGATTTCCCCCACGCGTCGAAAGCCCCGTGGCTTCGCAATGCCCTTCAAACATAGAGCCCTGGGCGCGTTTAGCTGCAGTAGCTCGACATGCGAAAACTCGTCGGGAATGAACGCAAACGTTAGTCGGCGCCAGGACATGGCATATAATGCGGAGCCCACGGGCGCCTCTGAGGTGGCTCATGAGACCCCTGCGAGCTCGGAAACGAGCTTCACGCGACGAGCCCATATTTCCAATATTTTCAGCTGACAACCAGCACGTCCACGGCATGTCAATATACGAGAACTCCTCCCCGGGGTGGGCACAGACGATGCCAGGTCGATCTGGCTGAAACTCTGGAGGAGGGATTGCCGCGGTAAACCTTTTAGACCTGTGAGCTGCAACACCAAGCGCGCAAAGAAAGCGGGGCCGTCGTCTCATCCATTAACAAACGGAAGTTCAGCGATACCTCCTCGAATATTGCCTGGCCCAGCGTCGCACCAACCTCAAGCAGGTCGTCACGTAGCTGAGAGGCCCAGGAACACGCAGATGTGCTGAGGCCCCCAGGAGGCAAAGGTGGACCCTCATGCTCGAATGGTAGTTCTCCGAACAGAGCTCCGGGAACCTGGAGGTGGTGCGTGGGCCGTCGGGCCCAGCTTTGGACCAATCGCATCCGACATATGCGCATGTCGAAACGGGGGTCCGTCGGTTAACACTGCGCCAAATGCTCATGGTTCGACATCGCATGGGGATGACTACCACTCCAGTCCGTGGCCTTGCCCGCCATGGCAACGCCGCAGAAGCGTGCGAGAGTGTCCTCCAACTTCCTGTAGCCGCTCTATGCGAGCGTGAAGGCCTCCAGCCCGCTGAGAAGTGCATTGTGGGCGAAGCCCTGTAATAGTAGACGCTTTAATGTCCGGGGAAATTCAAATTGCCAGACAACTCCCAGACATTTGAACGGCCCCCAAGATGCCGAGGCACGCCGTTCGACTCCATGGTGAGCACTATCTGCGAGGGCCAAGTAGGGCCCCAAATGACGCGCCTGATCCTTAATGGGGCCTTCCAGATCATGCCCCCCCCCCCCCCCGCGGTGGGATTTGTCTGGGGTGCACCTGGCGGGTCCCGGAGTATATCATAATTCATGTTCCGACATGTTCTGCTTGCGCACGCAGGGTCCTAGTCTCTGGTTCAAGCGGACGTGGCGACACTTAACTTCTGGACGAATTCGGGCAAGGTCGAGTCTAGATCCCCAAAGACGATATTGTGAACATCGTCCGCGTACTTGAGAAAGCTCAAACCGACCTGTCGATCCTTGAAGGTAGCGAGCAGCTCGCCGTGGCACAGATCCTGCGCGCGGACATCCCGGCGCCGCTCCTCTATCGGCGGCTGTTTGAGCGACGAACGGATCGCCCATCAGACCAGCACTGCTGAGGCCTAAAAATTATTCTCCCACCCTTCCCAGCAGGCAGGGCCACCACAGCCTGGCGACGTCGGAGCCGGCACAGGCCGCGGTCCTCGGCCCTCGGGAAGAGGAGGAGGGAGAGGGGGAGAAGGATGAAGAGGAGAAGGAGGAGGAGGACGAAGAGGAGAAAGAAGAGAAGGAGGAAGAGGAGGAGGAAGAGGACGGGGAGGAGGAGGAAGAGGTGGGGGGGGGGGGCGGGGAGGAGGAGGAGGAGGAGGAGGAGGGGGGGGAGGTGGAGGAGGAAAGGAAGAGGCGGAGGAGGGGGAGGAAGAGGAAGGGCAGGGGGGGGAGGAGGCGGGAGAAAGAGGAGGAGGAAGAGGAGGAGGAAGAGGAGGAGAGAGAGGAGGAGGAGGCATGGCAGAGAGGGGGGAGGGGGGGGAGGGGGACGAGGGGGGGGGGAGGAGGAGGACGAGGAGGAGGAGGAACAGGAGGAGGAGGAGGGGGGGGAGGAGGAAGGGGAGGAGGAGGCAGGGGTGGAGGCGGAGGAACCAATGCATGAATATTGGTCCACCTGTTGCTGCACTACTTCCCGAACAATGACTGACTGACATCGCGGCCTAGAGCTTTGAGTCGGGTGCCTCGTGCGCCCCCCGGGGCGCGTCGAAATCGCAACCAGCGCGCTCCGCGCGAAGCGGCACTGGCCGTCCTGCACCCCTACTGCGGGCAAGCAGCCCTAGGGGGCAGGCCCCAGCGGCACGGGGACTTCCGACCCACCAACCCCTCCCTGGCCACTCGCGCGCCCCCCATGCCTTTGGAACCTGCCGCAGGCTGGGCTGTCGGGGCGCAGATGATTGGCGCGCGAGGGGGCGAGCCAGAGAGAGGGGCGTCGGCGCGCGTCTCGAGCCGAGCGGATGGGGGGGGGGAAGCAAACGCACCACTCGACAGAATGCCTCGGGCAACCAGGTCCTGAAAACGTTCGTCACCCGCGAAAACCGCCCTGGCCATGACTACCCTGGAAGGGGTGGAAGGGTAGACTTAAACAGACAACAAATGATCTCAGCGCTCCTACCTGGGGTTGCCCTGGCCCAGGCCCCGATCTCGACGCCTCCCTCGTCAAACACTCGCGGGCAGAGGGGGGCTCAGGCGGTGCCCTCATCTGAGGGCCCATAGCGAATCCGCGGAGACCATCTCGCCCACCTGCCGCTCCAAGGGGCAGCGAGGGGCCGCCCCCGAAAGGTAGTTGCCGTTCTCCGACTCCACCAGCGCCTCCATGAAGACCGAGAGCGCAGCTCCAATCTTCGTGCCCTTGTGGATCGCCGTCGAGATGATGGCCTTGGGAGGCTCGCATTTCGGCGCCTTTCAAGACATGACCCCTGAAATGCGGGGTCGAGCGGCCTATCTTCGCTGCCGTGACTCCTGGTGCGAAGATCTCCTGATGGTAGAACTCCTTCGTCTCGTCGCGCAGCTTGATCGCCCGCGCGTCGCCGTTGCCCTCGAACTGCTTGCCGGCGCCGTAGAGGATCGCCGCCGTCGCCGCGCGGGCGCGCGGTGGTCCGCGAGCCGTCCAGCCCGCGTCGCCACCTTCGCGCTGCTGCTGCTCCATGTCCAGGTTGGCCATGTTGCACGTGACCCCCGCGGCCTTCGCCGCTGCGGCCAGGCCCGCGCTGGCGTTCGGCATCTCGTAGCGGTGGTACACCGTGCCCTCGAGGTCCGCGACGCCCCTGGCCAGCGCCATGGCGAGTCGCGCGTTGGGCGGCGCGAGCTTGCCCCCACCTCCGCCGCCGCCCTTGCTGCTGTCGGCGTTGCTGCCCTTCTGCTTCTGTTCCGTGTCCCCATCGTTGCCGCGGCCTGCTCTTCTGGCGCGCCGTCTGCGGCGCGCTGAACCAGGAGGGCGGCGCCGCGTTCCCCGCTGCCTGAGGCTGCAGGCTCTCCCGCGGGGCGCGCGCCCTCGAGGCCGCATGGGCAAGTGGGAGACCAGGCGATCAAGAAGGTTGTCGAGACCCGAGCCATCGCAATCGCAGACGGGGCGCGTGGACGAGGTGACTGGCTGGATTTCCCGACGCGTCGAAAGCGCCGTGGCTTCGCAATGTCCTCCAAACATAGAGCCCTCAACGCGTTTAGCCGCAGTAGCTCGGCATGCGAAAACTCGTCGGCAATGAACGCAAACGTTAGCAGGCGTCAGGACATGGCATAGATTGCGGAGCCCACGGGCGCCTCTGTTGTGGCTCAAGAGACCCCTGCGAGTTCGGAAACGAGCTTCACACGGGGAGCCCATATTTCCACTATTTTCCGATGACAGCCAACACCTCCACGGCGTGTCAACAGACGAGAACACCTCCCCGGGTTGAGCGCAAACGATGCCAGGTCGAGCTGGCTGGGATTCTGGAAGAAGGATTGCCACGGTAAGCTGCTTAGACCTGTGAGCTGCAACATCAACCGCGCAAAAAAGGCGGGGCCGTCGTCTCATCCATTAACAGACGGAAGTTCAGCGATACCTCCTCGAATATTGCCTGGCCCAGCGTCGCACCAACCTCAAGCAGGTCGTCACGTAGCTGAGAGGCCCAGGAACACGCAGATGTGCTGAGGCCTCCAGGAGGCAAGGGTGGACCCTCATGCTCGAGTGGTAGTTCTCCGAACAGAGCTCCGAGAACCTGGAGGTGATGCGTGGGCCGACGGGCCCAGCTTTGGACCAATCGCATTCGACGAATACGCATATCCAAACAAGGGTCCGTCAATTTCCACTGCGCCAGTTGCCCCTGGTTCGACATCGCATGGGGGCGACTACCACTCCAGTCCGTGGCCTTACCCACCATAGCAACACGGCAGAAGCGCGCGAAAGTGGCCTCCAACTTCCTGTAGCCGCTCTTTGCGAGCGTGAAGGCCTCCAGCCCGCTGAGAAGTGCATTGTGGGCGAAGCCCTGTAATAGTAGACGCTTGGATGTCCAGGGAAGTTCAAATTGCCAGACAACTCCCAGAAATTCTAAGGATCCCCAAGATGCCGAGGCACGCCTTTCGATTCCATGGTGGACACTATCTGTGAGGGCCAAGTGGGGTCCCAAATCGCGCGCCTGATCCTTAATGGGGCCTTCCTGATCATGCCCCGCCCCCCCCCCCCCCCGCGGTGGGATTGGTTTGAGGTGCGCCTGGCGGGCCCCGAAAGACATCATAAATTCATGTTCCGACATGTTCTGCTTGCGGACGCAGGGTCCTAGCCTCTGATTCAAGAGGACGTCGCGATACTTAATCTTCTGGACGAGCCCGGGCCAGGTCGAATCTAGATCCCCAATGACGAAGTTGGGCACAGCGGGAGGCCCCGAAGACGCCGGAGAGAGGGGCCTGCAAATGGCCACTCGCAAGGGCCCGAAGCCCATCAGAGGCCCCCCTCCTCTCGGCGGCCAGAGGCCCCAGCCACGTCCATGGACACGCTCCCGAAGGAGTGTCCTGGAATATGGCTGGGAGGTTGGACGTTTCCCCCTACAGGCGGATTTCGGGGGAAAGTCGTTAAAGGAAAAAAACATAGTCAAAACAGATTTCCGAAAAATATCCTGGCGAAGGACCCAACCATATGCAGTTGTGGGTACCGCAATTGTGAATATCTTCTTCTGTGAAGAACCCTATGGGGCCACGAAGCGCTGCACTGGGTGGGTGGGGAACGCACGCGGGCGGTAACACTGGGGCCGTCGGTGGAGCCCCCTGTGGGGCCACGAAACGCTGTACTGGGTGAGGGAAAATGCCAAATTGGTTGCGTGGGACGCATGCGGACGGTCCAACTGGGGGCTTCGGTGGAGCTCCCTATGGGGCCACGAAACGCTGTACTGGGTGAGGGAAAATGCCAAATTGAGCTTCCAGGGCGCATGCGGACGGTCCCACTGAGGGTTTCGGTGGAGCTCCCTATGTGGCAACGAAACGCTGTAGTGGGTGGGTGAAAATGCCAGATTGGGTGTGTGAGTATGGGACACATGCGGACGGTCCAACTGGGGGCTTCGGTGGAGCTCCCTATGGGGCCACGAAGCGCTGCACTGGGTTTGTGAAAATGCCAAAATGGGTTTCCGGGACGCATGCGGACGGTCCCACTGGGGGCTTCGGTGGAGCTCCCTATGAAGCCAAGAAGCGCTGTACTGGGTGGGTGAAAATGCCAAATTCGGTTTCTGGGGCGCATGCGGACGGTCCCACTGGGGGCTTCGGTGAAGTTCCTCAAGTGGCCAAGAAACGTTACACTGGGTGCGTGAAAATGCCAGTTTGGGTGTGCGGGACGCACGCGGACGGTCCCACTGGGGGCTTCGGTGGAGCTCCCCAAGGGGCCAAGAACCGTTATATAGGGTGCGTGAACATGCCAAAGAGTGTGTGTGTGTGTGTGCGCGTGTGCGGAGGAGACGCGGGGACCGTCTCTTCAAAACGAGGACCCCGCACCACAGGATGGTCGGGAAACAAATAATCGAATCATCGTCCTGAGACTTATTGATTTGAATATGTTTGTAGATTCCTCCTGTAGGGGGGACATGCCCAACCTAGAGGTACGACGAAGCAGCTGACGCACGTCCCAGGAATCCACAGTGTGCCTCACTGTGTCCTCAGGAGCCCTCCATGGGGGCCGCCCGTGAGCACAGCTACGAGTGCTGAGGGGAAGTGGGGAAGAAAGCTGACGCCCAAGCAAGCTACTACACTCCTGACCCCGTTTCGAAGAGCCGTCCATGGGGTCTCTCCACTGGCTTGACTGGGAATGCTGGCGAACATCGGGCGGCGTCACTCACACACGATCCGGACAGGCTTGCAGGCGATGCAGAGGTTGGAGGTGGAGGAGGAGGAGGAAAAAGAGGAGCAGACGGAGGAGGTAAGAGGCGGAGGAAGAAGCGGAGGAGAAGGAGGAGGAGGAGGAGGAGGTGAGGAGGAAAAAGAGGAGGAGGAGAAAGAGGAGGAGGAGGAGGAAGGAGGCGGAGGAAGAAGCGGAGGAGGAGGAGGAGGGAGGAGGAGGGAGGAGGAGGAGGAGGGTATGCGCTAAAATCAGCATGCCCCCAATGATGGGCCAACGGCAAGCACGAACTACTCCGAGCCGCATGGCAGGATGGACTGAGCACCGCAAGATCGCAGCGGAGAGAAGGGCGAACACTGCGATGACCAAAGACGACGAATGAGAGCGACACCGTGACACCGCGACACCACACTACCACAACACCAAAACAGCAAGCGCCCCCGCGACACCACTGCACCACGGTACCAAGTGCCCTCGCGACGCCACGACACCACCGACACCGTGACGCCACGGCACCGAATCAGCTTCCAGCCCCCCCCCTAAAAAAAAAACTACAGAAAGAAAACTTCCATTTTCAATCACGAGCTACCTTGGCCTTCTATAAGGACCTCCTGAAGAATGAACGCCGTACGTTGCTGGCCTCAACCGATCCGAGTTCATCCTTCTCCATCAGAGGCGGTCCTCCTCGATGCTCGATCCTCCTCCTCCTCCTCCTCCTCCTCCTCCTGCTCCTCCTCCTCCGCGTTCTCCTCCTCCGCAATCTCCTCCTCCTCCTCCTCCTCCTCCTCCTCCTCCTCCTCCTCCGCCTACGCCTCCGCCTACGCCTCCGCCTCCGCCTCCGCCTCCTCCTTTCCTCCTCCTCCTCCTCCTCCTCCTCCTCCTCCCTCCTCCTCCTCGTCCTCCTCCTCGTCCTCCTCAACCTCCTCCTCCTCCTCCTCCTCCTCTCTCCTCCTCTCCTCCTCCTCCTCCTCCCTCCCTCCTCCTCCTCCCTCTCCTCCTCTCTCCTCCTCCTCCTTTCCTCCTCTCTCCTCCTCTCCTTTCCTCCTCCTCTCCTCCTCCTTCCTCCTCGCCTCCGCCTCCTCCTCCTCCTCCTCCTCCTCCTCCTCCTCCTGCTCCAGCATACCTCCCAGGACCCCAAGGAGGCCAAGTACCTTGCGCTTGCAGCGAAGGGTTTCATCCAGGACTCCAAGGGCCTCGGCATGATCTTGAAGGCGTCGAAGTCTGGGGCTGTTGCTGGTTCTCGGAAGTTCTGGAAGGGGGTGCAGCACCACATGGGCTCCATGAAGATCCCGTACAAGGGCCACATGAGGAACCTAGGTCACGAGCTCACGGGGCCCAAGGTGATTCGGGGTATGGAAAAGAAGCGCCCCAAACAGCTTAGAGAGAGGAAGGCGAGGTTTTCCATGCTGAAGTCTGCGGTCGGCAAGGTCTCGACGGCTTTGTGGCGCACATGCGCCCTTCCATCAGCGGCGCACGGTGCTGCAGTTGCTGGCGTAAGCGACGTTGCACTTCGAGAGCTGCGTCTTTTCGCGGCCGTCCTGAACGGCGCGCCAGGCAGATTTAACACGCGTGTGACCGCCTACTTGATCAGCCACAAGAGCGAATTCTACGATCCTATCTACCACGCCACAATAGCCATAGTTATTAAATTTGCGGAGTGGGTCTGGGACGGTAGAATACCCGACAGTCGTCTACATCGGGCTTGGGAGGCTCTCCGAGATAAGATCGGCACGCTGTCCTGGGCTAATACTCGGGGCCCGATCGGGGCCTGCTGGTTGACTTTACGACGTATTGGTTGGAACTTGGTATCTAGTCATATGGTGGCTGATGATCTAGGCAATGTTTTCGACTTGCGTGTTATGTGCCCTGCCGACCTGAAGGTTTTCCTCACCCAGGGGATCCAGCGTTGGCAGGACGAGCGGCTGCTCAAGCATTTTTACACCGCTGAGCCTGACGAGCAGATATGGCACCGAGGCTTACGCAACCCGGTGACGAGTATCAAGTGCGTTCGTAGACTTGGGGCCCTCCAAGCGCACTGGTCAGGGAACCTCCCCATTCCTCAGCTCCAAGATGCCCGTCAAAAGATCCCAATCAGGCCGTGTGCAGCTTGTGGGGCCCAGTCTCAGGGTATTTGGGGCCACGTGCTCTACGATTGCCCCGAGCTGCTCACGCAGCGCCAGGACTTCTTGGACATCTCAGAGGACTTGGAGGCAACCAGAGGCATGCTCCTGAAGGGGGGCGAGTGGTATGAGGGGCGTCTGGCTTGGGAGTCCAACTACCTGGTCTTTTGGGCCCCCGCTCCCCCTGCTGGTATCCCTGGGCTCGACACAATAAGTTCGGAAGTTCTCCTGTGGGGCGACACCGATGGGCCTTGGGGCCCCAAGAGCTATACCGACGGTTCGGGCTTCGCCTCCAGTGTTCCAGAGACTAGGCGGTGTGGGTACTCATGCATCCAGCTGGACCCCAAGACCCTGTTGCCAGTCCGTGCAGTGTACGGACCGCTGCCCTTCTATGTGCAGACCGTTGGCCGTGCTGAGAGATATGCTATCAAAATGGGTTTGGAATTTCATCCTGATCATGAGCTGTTCGTGTCTGACCTCCTGGGGCTGGTAACTGAGGGCAAGTCTTGGGATCAATCCCTTCAGCACGGCCGAGGCAAGCACGCCAGGATATGGCGGGAAATTTTTCAGGCTGCTCGGCGTCGTGTGCTCGAGCACCCAATCCGTTTCGAGTGGACTCCTGCACACCGTGACCCCGACAGTGTGCTGGATAATCCTGATGAGTTGGAGAACTGGCTCGGCAATGCCTGGGCTGATTACTTCGCCAAGGCAGGTGCGGCGCACCACATGATCGCCAACACGATCTCGGAGTCGCTCACAGAGGCTTTGAAAATCCATAAGGCCACGCTGCAGTTTGTGTCGTGGGCATGCTTACGTGTCATTGTCTCGGAGAGTTGGGGCCGAGGTCCTCCGCCGCCCGTTCAGGATCCAGGGGCTCGTGAGGTTCTGGGTCAGCCAGTCTTGTTCGGCCGTGATTCAGATCATGATCTATGGTGGTGCAGGAGACTCAAGGAGCATAAGTGCAGGAGATGTGGGAGATCGGCTCGCTCGGACTCGACTCTAGCTTGGCTTAGGACTGGTTCGGGAAGGAAATGTGAGCCCTCTAGCCTCCAGAGCCTGGCCTGTGCGGAATGGTTTAAGAATTCGGGGGAGGTCTGGGTCAAAGCGTCGGACCCCCGTACTGCCCCGTCCCAAGTGATCGTCGCGGGCTTTTTGGGTGAGGGGCCTCGCGAGGCCTCGGAGGGACCCCTTCCTGGGCCCGTGGGCCCTCCCCAGCAGCCTGAGATCGGCGAGGCTTCAAACAGTTCAGGGTCGACCGAGCTCATAGCCGAGTTTGCGGCTCTGGGTCACGATGTCTTCTGTGTGAATTCGGTCTACTGTTGCCGTAAGTGTGCTGGCACGACGACCCTCGAGACGTCTCGGAGCGTTCGGAAGCTCCGTCGTCCTTGTGCTGGGCTCTCAGAGAATCCGAGCACGAGGGCCAACCAGCTGGGGTTGATCGATAGGATCTTCCACGGCCGCCAAGGGCGCCCCAAGCGCCCCGAGGGCAAAGCGCAGACGTAACTCGTCCTGCCTCCCCTGGGAGCGGTTTCGCGGCGTCGGTTTTCCCTGGCCCTCGCCCGCCCTCTCAGTACATAATATTTCCGCCGCTTCGCGGCCCCTCAGGGTTCTCATTTGTTCCTGAGGCGTGTTCGACTCGGACGCGCTCTCAGCGGCCCTCACCCTCACCCTCCTCCTCCTCCTCCTCCTCATCCTCATCCTCATCCTCATCCTCATCCTCATCCTCATCCTCATCCTCATCCTCATCCTCATCCTCATCATCATCATCAGCATCAGCATCATCATCATCATCATCATCATCATCATCATCATCATCATCATCATCATCATCATCATCATTATCATCATCATCAGCATCATCATCATCGTCATCGTCGTCTTCATCTTCATCTTCATCATCATCATCATCATCATCATCATCATCATCATCATCATCATCATCATCATCATCATCATCATCCTTCTCTTCCCCCTCCTCCATTATTCCCCTTCCTTATAGATAACTTTACCCTGTCGCACCCGGAGGCCAGTCTTTAAGGGCGGGCCGGGCGTTTCGCCTGAGACTTCCACACCAGTTATAACTCTGAAGCTTAGAAAGTGGCAGCAGCTTCGCTTCACAGATGGAGGGCGGGTGGTTTTCAACATGTGGCTCTCGCCCGAGAGCCGCGCACATTCGATTCAAACATTTGCAAGAGTTTCACGGGTTTGAGGGCGGTTGGTTTTCAAAACGTGGCTCTCGCCTCAGCGCCGCGCGCATTCGTGTTAAAACATTGCAAGAATTGCACGGGTTGAGGGCGGTTGATATTCAAAATGTGGCTCTCGCCTGGGCGCCGCGCACACTCGTTTAAACACTTGCCAGGGCTTCACGGATTGAGGGCGGGTGGTTTTCTAAATGTGGCTCTCGACTTAGCGCCGCGCACGTTCGTTTTAAGCATGGTGAAGAGGTTCACGGTTCCCATGATCACAGTACCAGGAATTGTGGTATTTAAAGGTTCGCCCGGCGAAGGACCCAACCAGATGCAGTTGTGAATGCCGCAAGTGTGAATATCTTCTTCGGTGGCGCTCCCTATGGGGCCACGAAGCGCTGTACTGGGTGGTGGCGGACGCATGCGGGCGGTGCCACCGGGACCTTCGGTTGAGCCCCATATGGGGCCACGAAGCGCTGTACTCGGTGGGTGAAACGCAGGGAGCACGGGCTGTGTTGGGTGGTGGCTGACGCATGCGGGCGGTGCCACTGGGACCTTCGGTGGAGCCCCTTTATGGGGATACGAAACGTTGTACTGGGTGGGCGAAACGCAGGGAGCAAGGGCTGTGCTGGGTGGTGGCGGACGCATGCGGGCGGTGCCACTGGGACCTTCGGTGGAGCCCCCTTTATGGGGCCACGAAACGCTGTACGGGGTGGGCGAAACGCAAAGAGCAAGGGCTGTGCTGGATGGTGGTGGACGCATCCGGGCGGTGCCACTGGGACCTCCGGTGGAGCTTCCTATGGGGCCACGAAAAGTTGTACTGGGTGGGCGAAACGCAGGGGGCAATGGCTTTGCCGGCAGGTGGCTGACGCATGCGGGCGGTGCCACTGGGACCTTCGGTGGAGCCGCTGTTATGGGGTGACGAAACGCTGTACTGGGTGGGCAAAACGCAGGGAACAAGGGCTGTGCTGGGTGGTGGCGGACGCATGCGGGGGGTGCCACTGGGTCCTTCGGTGGAGCTCCCTATGGGGCCACGAAGCGCTGTACTGGGTGGGCGAACCGCAGGGAGCAAGGGCTGCGCTGGGTGGTGGCGGACGCATGCGGGCGGCGCGGTGCCACTGGGAACTTCGGTGGAGCCCCCTGTGGGGCCACGAAACGCTGTACTGGGTGGGTGAAACGCAGGGAGCAAAGGGCTGTGTTGGGGGGTCGCGGACTCATGCAGGCGGTGCCACTGGGACCTTCGGTGAAGCTCCCTTATGGGGCCACGAAGCGCTGTACTGGGTGGGTGAAACGCAGGGAGCAAGGGTTGTGTTGGGTGGTGGCGGACGCGGACGCATGCGGGCGGTGCCACTGGGACCTTCGGTGGGGCTCCCATGGGCCACGAAACGCTGTACTTGGTGGGCGAACCGGAGGGAACAAGGGCTGTGCTGGGTGGTGGCGGACGCATGCGGGCGGTGCCACTGGGACCTTCGTTGGAGCCCCCTTTTATGGGGCCACGAAACGCTGTACTGGGTGCGTGAAACGCAAAGAGCAAAGGCTGTGCTGGATGGTGGTGGACGCATGCGGGCGGTGCCACTGGGACCTTCGGTGGAGCCCCCGATGGGGCCACGAAACGCTGTACTGGGTGGGTGAAGCGCACGGAGGAGGGAGGAGGGGGAGGAGGGAGGGGGAGGAGGAGGAGGAGGAGGAGGAGGAGGAGGAGGAGGAGGAGGAGGAGGAGGAGGAGGAGGAGGAGGAGGAGGAGGAGGAGGAGAGGAGGGAGGAGGAGGAGAAAGAGGAGGGAGGAGGAGGAGGAGGAGGAGGAGGAGGAGGAGGAGGAGGGGCGCAGGGACCGTCTCTTCAAAACGAGGACCCAACACCACAGGATTGGTGGGAAGAAAACTGTCTGTCACGATTCCAGATCGTCAAGGCGCAGCAGTCAGGTTGATCCGCGACGTTGAAATCCCGAGAACATTGTTTTGGCATGCTTCAGGAGCTTCAAACCGTTGTCTTCCAACGATCGCGAGGCAGTTCCCTCAATGGAGATGAACCTATGACGAGGGCGCTTGCAGGGAGGGTTAATTCCAACATCGTTGATGATTCTTGGGCTTACACTGGTCCTCCTCCTCCGCCTCCTCCTCCTCCTCCTCTCCTCCTCCTCCGCCTCCTCCTCCTCCTTCTCCTCCTCCTCCTCCTCCTCTTCCTCCTCCTCCTCTTTCTCCTCCACCGCCTCCTCTTCCTGCTCCTCCGCCTCCTCCTCCTCCTCCTCCTCCTCCTTCCAAGACTCCAAGACTCCGCTGCGTCTGGTCACTCATGAGCGGCCGACGCCCGACTACGAAACGGGGGGACCAACAGAACTGGGACCAGCCGTGGAGGACGAGGCAGGGGCGGGCAGGGGGGAGGGAAGAGGAAAAAAGGGAAGGGAGGAAAGGGGAAACGACTGGCCCAGTCTGTGTTTGGTCCCAGGAAGGAGCCCCCGTAACAGCTTGGAACGCTCCGAGCTCTTGCGAGGGGGCTCACACGCTATACTGAGGAGGGCGCTGCCACGGCTAGTGGCAAACCCTCCGCAAGATACGCAAAATATTACAGGCATATCACTCTCTTCGACTCGGGCCCAATGCAGGTGATGCCCCGAGCCCCCGCCTCCACAGAGGAGGTCCGACAGAGCAGGGTTCAGGGTACCGCACGGGGTCTGGGTCTTCGAGGATACCTGTCGCAGGCAACGTTGACACCGCTGGATATTCCCGTGCCAAACAGGTACATGGTCAGATTTCAAACGGGGAGGCCTCCTGGCCCGATGGGGCCGCTTCAGCTTCCCAAATTGGGCTTCACAGGAAGGGAAACCGCATAGAATGTCGAGGACACCTACAACTAAAGATTCATACTCGCCCTCCGCATTATCAAAGTCGGCAAACTCCTGAGGCGAGATGTCGTGGGCCCGAGCCCCTAACCTCGCCCAGTGGTCGGCGGCCGTAGAACCTTGAATGTCCCGCGCATCGCTTTCGTCCACCGCGTCAAGGAGCTTCCGATGGGCGCCTACCTTGCGAAGAGAGATCCAACTGCTAGTACCGATGTCTCTAGCTATGGACCTCCAGAAAAAGCTGCTCCGAGAACCTCCCCCCAGGGCCCTGCCAGGAGACCTCACACCCAAAAACAAAGCCGAACAGTCCACGGAGATGGCCTTGGGAGGAGGTTCAATGGCGCGTTCTTGCCTCAGCACAGCTAGGCCCAGGGCAGCATGCTCCGCATCCCCTGGGGTCTGGGCATATTCTCTGGGGAGAGGGCTGTAGACTCCCCTCCTGCAGGTCCCGTCGTCATTCATCTCGACCACGGAGACCCCAGACCTGGCGATTTCGGGCCGAGTGTTGTGGAAGCAAGAGCCGTCCGTGAAAAGCCTAGCTTCGGGCCCGAACACAAATGCATCGACAGGTTCGCCCTGGGCACCGAAAAACTGCAAACACCAGTCATTGCTTGGTGGGGGCACATCAGGATACGCTGGCCGCAGCCTGGAAAAAATGAGAATATTTTCATCACATTCTAAAGCCTGCTGAACAAGCTCGGTTCCAAAATGCTCAGCTCGGCGTCGTGTAATATCAGGGTGCTGGCATTCCCAGCACCTGTGCCTCAGAGTGTCCCGTCCTGCTCCACACATCGGGCACGAGGAGTCGACTTCGTAGCCCCATCTCCTGAGGGTCTCTCCAGTCGGTAAGGCACCTGATAATACTTGTAGATACAAGTGCTTCGCTTGACTGCTTAATTTCCTGGCAACACGCTGCAAGAGGGGAAGCCAGACCCCACGAGCATTCAAGTCCTGGTTCCCAGGATGCGAGTGGGTCTCAAGACCCTTGGTGAAAAACTTGTCAAGGAACACTTGGGCCAGATCGGCCACAAACTTTTCCCCAATCTGAGACGGGGGGGATTCAGTCAAAGTCCAACGTCGTCCAGACCGATCCAGAAACACCGCGGGACCCTCCCAGGTCCATCCTCCAGCTTCGAGCCAGAGGAGCATGGCCGAGATCGGCCCACGGGTCCGAAAAAGCCAGGGTTTTCCCCGAGTCCCTTGGAAGACTTCGACACTCGAGTGAAACACTTTGCTTAAAATACCTGGGGTTAGCGCATCCTGATGCCTAGGGCTCCCGTGCCTACTCACTTCAGAACTGTGCCACCATTCCCAGCAGTATCTACGTACGCAACCACCTGCCAGCGCGATGGGGTCGCCTTTGCCCTCAATGGCCCACAGGAGGTCCAAATTGCAACCTTTCTTACTGATCCCACAGACTCGCCCAGCAGACCTCCGAATAGATAGAAGTTCCTTAGGAGACACACCCTGGATGTCGAGCCCATAGGATACCGTTGGGAGGATCCCACCTTTGAAGAGCCTTTTCTTGAGCTTCGTGGAGACCTTGAGGCCCGAGAGCTTAGCGATACGAAACTTGAATTTCTTGGTCCTCTTCTTCATGACAAGGCGGGCGAACGGCCGCAGCTGGTGCTTCCCACCTGCGAAATCCACTCCGAGGTTGGCTGGTGCAACAGTGCCCTGTCCTGCGAGTGTCCCTAGCTTACCTTTGATCATGGTCAAGAGGGTCAAGCTGTTAGCAGTGGCAAACATCTTCTTCTCTGCTAGGGGCACCTGCAGACTCTGCGAAATGGTCCAGGCCAAGCTGGTCGCAAGGTCTCGTAATTGCTGAACGCAATCTTCTACATTTTGATGCCATGCATGCACAGAAAGATCATCGACATGTAAGCTCATACCCGTACTATCGTGCCCCCTGTGAGCAACAATGGTGGGGAGGAGGAACGACTTGGCTTCGTAGGTGGCTGACGTGGACCCCGCTACGATCCCTCGCCGAGGGAACAGGGGTTCACCATATCCCCCGTCAAGGAGTAGAATTCTCTTCCACCGATACGTCGATATAGTATATAAAAGTATGTACAACGGGAACTCGGACAAGATACTTTGCTGGAGGAGCTCTTCATGACATATGTGCTCGTAGAACTGCAGCAAATCCCACATGAGGGCCCCATAGTGGATCTTCTGTCCCGCATACAACTCTGCCGTCACAGACTGACGCCACACCGTGTCAAGGGCGCTGCGGCCCTGCCCCATGGAAAACTCAGGGCCCAATCCCAATTTTGATTCCCAGGATCTACATGGGTTCCTGTGAGTCTTGCCGTGGAGCCTCGCAAACCCACAGTAGTGCCCAATAGGTCGCCGCCCTTTCACTGGTTTACTCATAAGAAATACTATGAGTTGCTGAATCCTGGAAGGTCCCTGGCCCAGAACATCGATCAGGTGATACAACCACGATAGGGCAAGAAGCGCACCATCAGATAACAATGAGTAGTGTCTTGGATGAAACCCATCAGGGGTACATGTCTGTCTCTTGAAACGGGAACTGATATGCCGCAAAGCTTCAGGAGCTACACGCTCTGTCACTGGAATCCTCCCCTCTGGAAGGTCGAAGGAAGGTAGCTCAACTCGAACGTCGCTTGCATTCCACGCCGCCTTCCACACTTTGGTTTCAGCAGCCAGCCGAGCAGGTAGGGAACTAGAATACTCTCCATTATCCGAGACAACTTCTTCGGACACTGGTTCTCCACTGCGCAGGAAGGCGAACGCCTGCTTCATATGTCCACCTACTGCTTCGGCACACCATTCTTTCCACGATTCTCTGGCCCTGGATCTGCCTTCAACGAGACCGACACGAGCCCACAGGCCGACGAAATCCAGGAACGCGTCGATACGATCGATGATAGTGTTCAAGAGTGGTGTGCCAACTAGCTCACGAGCAAATACCGCCAGTACTGGATGCCAGAACTCGCCCCCGGCTTTCCAGTGCCTCCTGAAAGGGCCCCCTCGAACTGGAAGCCGTTGCCATTGACGCAGGAGTCCCAAGAGATAGCCTTCCCTACCGCCTCGAAGAAATAGAGATCTCAATTCTTGGAGCCTGTGGAGGACCCATTCCAAAGCTCGTCCAGGAAAAGCATTCTCGTACTGTTTGGTAACTAGAAGCGACCTGAGAGGCTTATCCTTGAACTGCAAGTCAGATCCCCCAGGGAGCCCAGGCGAGTCCCTAGCTTGACACACGTCCAGGATTTCACCCCAGGCCTGAGAGACCCAAAGATCGTACACACGATCCAGTAAAAGAGCACCCTGGGATTTATCAGCACCAGTGGCCATGTAAGAAATTCCATCAGCATCTTGCAAAGGAAGGAGGAAACTTTCAATGTCTTGCACAATCAGATCATAGCTGGGGGGAGCTGGAGCAGGACCCACTGCAGCAACAGGTGGTACATGTTGAAACTTGACAGGGACTTTGACATAGATATCCTTCAAAGCCCTCTTCACAGAAAAATAGACTGGCCGATGAGGACTGTACGAGCCATCAATATCTGTGAATACCTGTCCTGCTGCAAAATCTAAATGCTTGCTGACGATAAAGTAGTCAATGACTGAAAGTGCTTCAGGAACTACAAACGTGGATGCCAATGGAGCCCTGACAACACCTGCAATCTGCACAAGTGGGGCATTGCTGGCCATCTCACTGGGTCCCATGTTGAAATCTCCGCCAATACAGAACGGGAGTCCATGATCGAAGATGTCCTTCCACACTGTCTTCAATATGCCCACATTCATCCCTTTGTATCCGAGAGAATCCTTAAGATAGACAGAGTAGAGCGCCACAATGCCAAATTCGGAAGAACGGAAGAAAATTCTCACAACTCGCCCATCGTAGAGAGATAGAGGGGAGGACGGTGGTATCCAAGAGTCGAGGTGCTTCCTGACCAGGATCATCGTGCCGCAACTGGGTCTCCCTGTCTCCAAACTGGTGATACACTCTCCTGCATAGACTCGCCAACCTTGCCTTTGAAGCCGAGAGCGGGTCCGTGAAAGCCTCGCACCTGCCAGTTTGTGCTCCTGAAAAAGAAGAACATCACCATTCGTGGTTCTGACAAGCTCCGAGAAACCACCACCTTTGACATTGGAAGATCCATCATCTGCAGCTTCACCGTGCCAACTGTTCCCATTGAACGTGATGATGCTGAGGGGGTGAAGCTCTGAACCAGTTTTCCTTTGGGCAATTCGTTCGGGCTGCCCACAACCGACTGACCCACAACAGAAGGTACCTGACACCGAAGCTGATGTGGGCTGCGTGGCAATTGCTCCTTGGCCTCCCGACTGTCCCGACTCGGCTTGGTTACTGCCACATGGGCCCTGGCCTTGTCGGTCCAGGGGCTCAGTAGGAGCAGTGCCACGCAGCCCTGAAGAACTGCTCGAAGACAATGAGGCCATCGCCGATGAAGTAGCATTGCCACCACACACATGATATGAAGAGGCCGATCTTGATGCCGTACTCCTCTGAAGCCCCGCCTCATAGACTCCATCACCGATGCCAGTCAACCCGAACACCGATCCAGAGTTTCCGAGATCGAGGCCCTCGAGGTCACACTTGCTAAAGGTCGTGCTCTGAACCACCCCCACACCCATCGAACTCCCAGTCGGACCGCGTGCCTGAGCCCATGACGGACGGGGGCGGCTGCTGGAAGGGTGTGGAGGGCGCGCGGGTGCAACCCCCGCCTGTGGGTCGACCTCCAGCACCTGGGGATCGAAACCTCGGTTTCTTACTCGCGGACCGAATGGCCTCCAAGATTTCCCTTTTCTGAGAATCCGAAACACCATCAACCTGCACAGCTTCCATGACATCAGCCTCGTCGACCTCCATGACCGAGCACTCCTCTGCGCCCGAAGAGGCCACCACAGGCTCTGGTGCAGGCATGGCTTCACGAAGACCATCCAAGAACTCCTTATACCGTGCCTGAAGATTAGCTCGTACACCTTCATGTTTGACACCAGACAAAGTCCCTTCGAACATACTGAGATGTGAAATGAAGCTCGCCATCGAGGGTGCCGAGGCCGCAGTCTCAGCCGAAGTAGCTTGCACTGCAGCAGCCCTCCTCTTGGCCTCCTCGATCTTCTTCCTCTCGTCCTGGATGCTGACCTGAAGCTCAGCCTTCTTGTCTTGAAACTTACGAATCGCTTCATCAACAGAGCTCTCTTCCTCCATGAGCTTCTCCAAGCGCTTCTCGCTCTTGGTCTGCTCCTGCTCCATCTTCCTGAGGCGTTGGGACGGGGGTACGCTGGCCAACTTCTGATCTTGAGCCACCTTCCACGCTTGAGAGATGGCGTCGACAGAAGCGTCGGGCAAGATCCCTCGAAGCTTTCCTCCTGCAGCCAACTGGGAGAGGCGGTGGAGCTCTTCACGAATATTAGGCTCCCTTCCTCCTCCTGTAGGTTCATCACCCCGCTGTCCCCCCTTAGCACCCTGGTACTTGCCCTTGCCCCCGCCCTTGCCGTTGCGGCCACCCCCAGGAGGCCCAGCAATACCAGGAGCACGCACCCAAGGGTTATACTCCCAAACAGGTGGAGGCGGAGGGACTGGCGCGAGGTGCGGGATGGATCCCTTGCAGTGGTAGCAGAACTTGAAGTGGCTCGGGTTCTTCTTGCACCCACAGTGCGGGCAAGCAAGGCCGACTGGCCCCTTACCCTTGCCATTGGATTTAGTCATGCCTCAGCACAACTGGACGTGGAAAGACTTGCTCCACCAGGAGCTCACAAAGCCGAAAAGAAGGTGACGACCACCACAGGCGCCTGACTGGGCTGCACCCGTGGTGGCCAGAAGAAGCTGTCCTGGCCAGCTGCCTTGATAAATGGCAACTTGAGCCAAAATGGCTTGAGCCAAAATGGCTACGGTCCTCCTCCTCCTCCTCCTCCTCCTCCTCCTCCTCCCCTCCCAACTGGGACATTTACCCGCAACCCAGGTCGGGGATCTACTGACCGGGGTCAATACAAACCCGGGGCAGTCAGGCTTTGCAGGATCCTGCAAGACCCTGCAAGATCCTGCACCCAAGCCCGGATCAGTGCGCCCCTGGCTCTTCGGGAGGGCACACGGGTGGGGTAATTAGGGGCAGAGGTGGGGTTGGCAGGAAAGCCACACTGTGGACGGCCCCTGGCAGGAGGAAACGCGTTAAACAGCAGCATCCGGCTGGGACCCTTCCCCAGCCCCACCTTGGGATAACCCTCCCTCTACGAGCCCCCGAACTGTGCAGCATCCTGCAAGACCCAGCGCTCCGGCTGACCCCCGCCTGCATCGGCTCCCGCCCCAGGGCTCCCGACCAGGCACGGACGAGGCCGGAGGCCGCCAGATACCGGTCACCGAAGCCGCACCTCCCCAGGAGCAGCCGCAGGTCCTCGCCGGAGCAGAGCCCCTCGCGGTGCAGGTGCCTGACCATGACCGTCGTACGCTTGTCCTGGCCTCGCAGGATCGCCTCTGGGCTGATGTCGAATGCACGGAGGTCCGCGTGGGCGACCTTGGCTTTTGTGGGTGGCCTCCTCTCCTTCCCGCCCTTTGCGGCCGCCCTCCTCTCCTCTTTCCCCCCAAGGCTAGCGCGACCTTCGTGGAGAAGCAACAAATCCACCCTCATAACGACCACCCCGACGCGCGAAGCCGTTTAGTAAAAGCATCCAAAGACAGAATCAAACAGGGCAGGGCTGTTCAGTCAACGCCCAGGGCCGCTTAGTAAACGCAGATTTTCGGGTCAGGGTGGTGCTTCATCCCTTGACTTTGGTGCGCGGCTTCAGGGGCGCCCGTGGGGCCCTGACGCAGCCGCGCAAGCCAAGACTGCCGCGCCACATCAACGATCGGCGGGACGGCACTGGAAAACATATTTTGCGCACGCGGGCAACCGCGGAATTCCGCGAATTGGATTCGAACGCCCAGGGCCAAAGACGACCCGAGGAGGAGGAGGAGGAGGAGGAGGAGGAGGAGGAGGAGGAGGAGGAGGAGGAGGAGGAGGAGGAGGAGGAGGAGAGGAGGAGGAGGAGGAGGAGGAGGAGGGAGGAGGAGGAGGAGGAGGAGGAGAGAGTGGAGGAGGGGGAGGGGGACGAGGAGATGGAGAAGGAGGAGGAAGAAGGAGGATGAGGAGGAGGAGGAGGACGACGGGTAAGCCCTTCGGAGAAGCCCTCCACCCCGAACGGCACCACGATGCGGCCTGGTTCTACCGAGCCGCATCGCGATGACGTCTGGCCAGGCCCGGCGTCATGGCCAGAACCGGCCCCATCCGCGGGCCTGGGATATGTCTGAATATCTGTGGGTAACTTGCAACGAAAAAGACCTCCACCGGCTAAAGCAATCTGTTCAAACATACTCAAGTGGGACGCACAAAGACATACTAATACTAGAAGTTCTGCTTGGAGGCGCACGTCCGACCCAATCATTTAGTAGACCCATCTTGTAGTATATCGTTTCTCGAGCTGTGTGGCCAGAAAGCGCCCTCCACGACGCATATACTATAAAATCCGCCGACCCGGCGTGTGAGTTTGAAAAAGCCTCAGCTACAGCCTACAGCCTACAGCCTGAGCTTCAGCTCTGCTGGGGGGGGGCCGGGGGGGCTCTGCCGGAGAAGGGGGGAGGGGGGGGGGGACGAGGTGTGCTCTTTCCGGGGGGGCTCCTAGGGCTTGTCGCGGCTACCCGCGTGTCTCTGGGGAGGGCATTTTTTTGACACCCCTCACGAGGATCGTGACCTCCGAGAGGGTCCCGAACTCGAGTACCCCCCCCTCCCGCCCCAAAGAGCTCTCAAGAGGCCCCCAAGAGGCCCCAAGAAGCTCTCACGAGGCTCCCAAAAAGCTCCAAGAGTCTCCAACGAGGCCCCCAAGAGCCCCCAAGAGGCCCCAAGAAGCCCCGCAACTGCCCAGGAGGCCCGGGGGGGGCCTCAAAACTGCCTCCCAGAGGCCCCGAAGAGGCCAACCACGAGATCCAAACCAACATCAATGATGCCTCTGACCCACCACCCAGGCACGGTGGCGGGACAGGCCGAAGGCCACTAGATCCGCCGCCCCCTTTTGCTTCAGCAAAGGGGTGCCTGGCGTGCCGAATCCTCTCGGTTCTGGTTTTGGTTCTTTTTCCAAAAGAACTCTCCCAATGGGTTTCGGCCCGTCCCGCCGGGGTCCCGGGATTTTTGTCCACGGACCTCGCTTCCCCAATTTTCTGCCCCAGACGGCTCCAAGATTACATCCAAGATGGCCAAGATGGCCCAAGATGGCCTCCAAGATGGTCCAAGATGGCCTCCAAGTCCGCCCAAAATGGTCCAAGGCGGCCTCCAAGACGGCCCAAGAGAGTCCAAGAGGGCCCCAGACGGGCCAAGAGGCCCCTCAGAGGCCTCCCAGACGGCCCAAGAGGCCTCCAAGAGGTCCTCCAGGAGGGCCCGAAGAGGCCGAAATCATAGATTTTCCTACGGTTTTTGAAGGGTTTGGAAATTTGCTTCTTCTCGGCATTCCGACGGCTCCAGACGGCCCAAGAGGCCCCCAAGATCGCCCAAGAGGCCCCCACGAGAGCCCCAGGACGGCCCAAGTGGCCTCCAAGATGGCCCCAAGAGGGCCCCAAGAAGGCCCAAGAGGCCTCCAACACGCCCAAGATGCCCTCCAAGACGCCCAAGATGGCCTCCAAGACGGCCCCGAAGCGCCCCAAGAGAGTCCCCCGTTGGCCCAGAAAGGAGACGGCTCCCGACGGCGTCATACGTGCCAGGAACCCACCAAGATGGCCGAAGTTGGCTCGAAGGTGGCCCAAAAGGGCCCAAGAGGCCCCCAAGAGGGCCTCCAGGAAGGCCACACGAGGCCAACAACATTGATTTTCCTTACGTTTTTGACGTATTTTGACATTTCCTTCTGTTCGGCCTTCCGACGGCCCGAGACGGCCCAAGAGCCCCCAGAGATCGCCGAAAGATCGCCCAAGAGGCCTCCAAGACGGCCAAGATGACCTTCAAGACGCCCACGTGTTCCCCGAAGGCTTTCCAAACCGATTCGGGGAACACATGGTCCGATGGCTTGGTGGCCAAGATGGCCCAGGATGGCCTTCAGGATGGTCCAAGATGGCCTCCAAGTCCGCCCAAGATGGTCCAAGACGGCCTCCACGACGGCCCAAGAGCGTCCAAGACTGCCCAAGACTGCCAAAAAGGCCCCCCAGATGCCTCCCAGACGGCTCAAGAGGCCTCCAAGAGGTCCTCCAGGAGGGCCCGAAGAGGCCAAAATCATTGAGTTCCCTGAGGTTTTTGAAGGACTTTGGAATGTGTTTCTTCTCGGCATTCGGACGGCCCAAGACGGCCCAAGAGGCCCCCAAGATCGCCCAAGAGGCCCCCGAGAGGGCCCCATGAGGCTGACGGCCCAAGTTGGATGGCCACCTCCCCCCTCAAGAGGCCTCCAAAAGAAGCCCCGAAGAGGCCTCCCATGTGGCCAAGATGGCCCAGATGGCCTCCAAGCCCCCAAGACCAAGGCTCCAAGACGGCCCAAGAGAGTCCAAGGGGCCCAGACGGCCCAAGAGGCCCCCAGAGGCCTCCCAGACGGCTCCCCTCCAGGAGGGCCCGAAGCCAAATCATTGATTTTCCAAAGAATGTGTTCTTCTCGGCATTCCGACGAGACGGCCCAAGAGGCCCCCAAGATTGGCCTCCAAGATGGCTCCAACACGCCCAAGCCCAAGACGCCCAAGATGGCCAAGACGGCCCCGAAGCGCCCCAAGAGGGTCCCCCGCCCAGAAAGAGACGGCTCCCGACGGCGTCAACGTGCCAGGAACCCACCAAGATGGCCGAAGTTGGCTCGAAGCTGGCCCAAAAGGGCCCAAGAGGCCCCCAAGAGGGCCTCCAAAGGCGAACGGCCCGGAGAGACGGCCCAAGAGCCCCCAAAGATCGCCGAAAGATCGCCCAAGAGGCCTCCAAGACGGCCAAGATGACCTTCAAGACGATCACGTGTTCCCCGAAGGCTTTCCAAACCGATTCGGGGAACACATGGTCCGATGGCTTGGTGGCCAAGATGGCCCAGGATGGCCTTCAGGATGGTCCAAGATGGCCTCCAAGTCCGCCCAAGATGGTCCAAGACGGCCTCCACGACGGCCCAAGAGCGTCCAAGACTGCCCAAGACTGCCAAAAAGGCCCCCCAGATGCCTCCCAGACGGCTCAAGAGGCCTCCAAGAGGTCCTCCAGGAGGGCCCGAAGAGGCCAAAATCATTGAGTTTCCTGAGGTTTTTGAAGGACTTTGAAATGTGTTTCTTCTCGGCATTCGGACGGCCCAAGACGGCCCAAGAGGCCCCCAAGATCGCCCAAGAGGCCCCCGAGAGGGCCCCATGACGGCTCAAGTGGCCTCCCAGATGGCCCCAAGAGGGCCCCAAGACGGCCCAAGAGGCCTCCAACACGCCCAAGATGGCCTCCAAGACGCCCAAGATGGCCTCCAAGACGGCCCCGAAGCGCCCCAAGAGGGTCCCCCGTGGGCCCAGAAAGGCCCCCAAGACGGCTCCCGACGGCGTCAGACGTGCCAGCAACCCACCAAGATGGCCGAAGTTGGCTCGAAGCTGGCCCAAAAGGGCCCAAGAGGCCCCCAAGAGGGCCTCCAGGAAGGCCAGAAGAAGCCAAAAACGGCCCCTAGACGGCCCAAGAGCCCCCAAAGATCGCCGAAAGATCGCCCAAGAGGCCTCCAAGACGGCCAAGATGACATTCAAGATGCCCACGTATTCCCCGAAGGCTTTCCAAACCGATTCGGGGAACACATGGTCCGATGGCTTGGCAGGTCTGGCCTCAACGTTTGGCCACAGAGGCGCTACCACAAAGGCAAGGGGCGGCGGTGATTCGCCGTAGGCGTCTTCGATCCGCCGCCGCTGTCGATTCATCGCAGGGGTGCCTGGCGTGCTAGATTTGGCTTAGGTTTTGGTTTTGGTTCTTTTTCCAGAAGAACTCCCCTATGGGCTCCAGCCCGTCCCGCCGGCCTCCCCGAAACTGCATCAGTCAATGTCTGAAACGGCCGTTTCGCTCGGGACATCGTCAAAAGACAGCGAAGATGGCCCAAGATGGCCTCCAAGTCCGCCCAAGATGGTCCAAGACTGCCTCCAAGACGGCCCAAGAGAGTCCAAGACGGCCCAAGACGGCCCAAGAGGCCCCTCAGAGGCCTCCCAGACGGCCCCAGAGGCCTCCACGAGGTCCTCCAGGAGGGCCCCAAGAGACCGAAATCATTGATTTGTCTTAGTTGTTTTAAGAATTTTGGAATGTGCTTCTTCTCGGCATTCCGACGGCTCAAGACGGCCCAAGAGGTCCCCCAAGATCGCCCAAGAGGCCCTCAATAGGGCCCCATGACGGCCCAAGTGGCCTCCAAGACGGCCCCAAGAGGGCCCCAAGACGGCCCAAGAGGCCTCCAACACGCCCAAGATGGCCTCCAAGACGCCCAAGATGGCCTCCAAGACGGCCCCGAAGCGCCCCAAGAGGGCCCCCAGTCGGCCCAGAAGGCCCCCCAAACGGCTCCCGACGGCGTCAGACGTGCCAGGAACCCACCAAGA